CCAATTGTAAAACTTTAATGCCTGGGAAGGAGATTTATAGCATGTGGCAGCAGCATCTAACCTAAACCTGACAGATAGGGAAATTTTCCAAGCAGACGGGGCTTCTCATCTGAGGTCTGAAGGATGAGTGGGGTTTAAGCAGGTTAGAATTGGGGTGGCATGGGTAATAAGGCTTCAGGAAGGTGGAAGAACAATGTGAAAACCTGCAGGTAAGAATATGGTCCATGTTGTCTCAGAGTCAACTATTAGATTCTGTGACCTACCTGTTGAAGAGACTTGGAAAAAGTAGATCAATGGGGAATACTAATCAGTATGCTTAAAAATACCTCTTTCTCATATCTACTTAACAGAAGAAACTCGAGTCTCCACCCCCATCTACCAATCCCTTCCTGGAAGATGAGCCAACACCAGAGATGGAGGAGCTGGCAACAGAGAAAGGAGATTTAGATCAAGTGAGTCTGCATTACCACGGGTAACCTATCTGAAGACTGTTTCTGAAAATGGGTCAGCTTGCCCCAGATCTGATCCTCTGGCTGTTGACCACATTCAGAGATTACACCTTTGGTGGTCTTTACAGAAGGGCTTTATCTGAAAGTGTATTTAGAGAACTGAGTGAAAGGGCAGCCTTTCCTGCCCCGCATCCCGCCCCTGAAGAGCCTCACCACCAGGACTGAGCAGCTCGCACAAGCTTAATTAGCCTGTGCGGCAGGCAGCAGAGTTCTGCCCAGCCTCATTCATCATGTCCTGAACTTGTCAGCTTAGCTTTCAGTTGTACTCTCATCTGACACAATGATGATGTGAGAGGCTGAGAGATCCCGGGGAAGCTTGCAGCACCATCCGCTAGCCGAGGCCTCCACGCTGTGTAAGCTGAGCACTCTAGGTCTGGAAGCCATTGGGGAGGTCTGGAAATATCAAGGTGACCAATGGCATGTTTGGAGAGTTACTTTTCAGAACACACTAGCACTTTAATTTCCTTTGGATTTTTCTGTCCAGCTCTAAATTTCCTCTCCCTTTATCCTACAGAATGGTGTTTTTGTTTCACTGCCATTTTATGACAAGAGAGGTTAGAGCAATAAATCAGGACTTTTCCTTTCTGGATTAGTGATCCTTCTTTTTAATTTTCTACCCTTGGCTGCTAGCGGATTCTTTTCTGGTATTATTTTGCTCCAGACACCACCAAAGGGGAGGCTGGGAAATGCATAGCCACGCACTTTGCAGCTCGGCCTGTGCTCCTAGTGCGGTGAGGGTGGGTGTGCAATCCTGGCAGGAGCTAAGAGAGCAGAAGTTCCAGGAGCAGTTCTGAAGTGATGCAGTAAAATGTGTCTGGTCCATTGATTAAATGGTGGTAATAAAATGGATACCTTACATTTTTATAGAACTTTGTAATTTAAAAGTCTTTTACATGCTTTATTTCATTTTGTCTTCACAATGCTTGCCTCTCATTTTATAGGTGATGAAACTGCAGCTCAAGGTTAAGTGATTGGCCTACGGTTGCATAGTTTGGAAGTGGAGGAGCTAAGACTGAAAGCCAAGTCTAGTGGTCAGAAACTAGAATTCCTTTCTCAGTGCTCTTTTTAAAAACACCTTCATGTCTCATTAAGGAGTAGAGGACAGAGAAATGAATCTTGGGAATAGAAGTGAATGAATAAGACTGAGAGGCTATCCCAGAGATGTACAGCATTAGAGGGGGTTGAGTCAAAGCTATTGTATGAGAAAACAGAAGATTTCTTCTAACTAAATAAATGCAACTCCCACATTTTAGGAGCTAGGACTCAGTAGAAAGAGGAATCTGGATGGAGAGCTAATTGTTCTGGTATGTCCTCCACCCACACCGGGTCACCTGTACCCTGGAAGCCTGCTTTGTGCAGTAGTATGGTTGGCATGGCTCCCAGGTCTCCCCAATGCTAGAGGCTGCTATTGTCATGTTCAGAACTGTTCAGTTAAACTCTCAGATGCTTTTAGTGCTGCCATGAAAAGTTGTCCCTTTAACTAGTATCTCTGGATGTTATTAAATTAGGCTTTGTTAATGGGGTCTTTCATACCTAAGAAATCAGTTTTGCTAGGTAAAAATGGGATTTTTCTTTCTCTTGCAACTTTTGCCCAGCATGGAAGCTTGAAATTGCTATTGTAAGGACCAATCCCCGCTCATTCTAAGAACACAGAACACTGACATCCAGTAAATACATGGGGTAAAGCAGAGTCATGTGGTGGTGAAAATGCTGGACTCTGGTCTGCCCTTAACTGACCACATGGCCTTACATAGGTTATTTACACTCTCTAGACTCCCCTAGTTTCTTTATCTTTAGAGGGGGCTAAAGGCTTTCAAACTGTGTTCCTTGGTGCCCCCTCAGATGTCACTGTGGGGAGTTGGAGGAAACCAGGGACCTAGGTCCCTGCAATAAGAACGGTTATATTTTGAGTCACTTTGTATTGTGGACTTTCTTTTGAATCAGGGGTTTTGTGTCTATTTAACAAAAAAATCTAAACAAAACTAATACCCCCTAGATGATCCACCCTCAATTTCACAGGCTGTTACTCATTAGTAATAGAATTTATACACCAGTGACTAATGCCATCCCTGACCTCCCACTATTTCTCTGGCACTTGTCTTGCCTGTGGCCAATTAGGTGGGAGCACCAGGATCTCCCTCTTCCCAGCAGCCTCATGGCTCCAGGAGCTGGGTGCACAGGAAGACGGGAGCCCTGTGGAGTCCTGGGGAGGGATTGCAGATGTTAGTGGTGAACTCAGCCAGAGGGTAGAGGGAAGGCCCTACTGTCCCTGGGTCACCCACCCCATTGCCTTACTGTATCCAGTAGGCAGTTGGCCCTTAAGGTACAGGTCACTCCCTGCTCACTACTGCAATTTACCCCTGGCTGTTGAAAAGGGAGAGTGAGCTTGAAAGAGGCATTTATTTAATAATTTACAAGCGGGCCTAAACAATCAGTTGCCAACATATTCCCAGTGATAAAAAATGACATCTGAAAGGGGACTGAGGGTGCTCCAAGTGTAAAAGAAAGAGAAGAAATAAAGAATTTCTGGTTTAAAAATGCACCCTTCTGGTGATCCGAGCAGTTAGATTTAATCTGTTTACATTGGATAGTAATAAAAGGAAATGGGACCAGCTGCAGACCTCCTTACTGTGACAGCAGTAACCTTTTATTAGTCCATCAAACTGCAGGAGGAAATAGCTTAAACAGCTGCAGCTTTTGGACAGAATTCACACACGCAGAAATCCAGCCCGAGTGCTACTGCTAAATGACTTAGTATAGTTTCTAAGCTGAGAATCAACCCTTTGGGGAGCCAGATAGTGCAAAGGGAGACACCAAGTTTGAGCTGAAATTCCAGCACCTCCTATCTAAACATGAGCACATTCACCAAGCAGACAGAGGCAAGAGGCAGCCCTGCTTGGTTGCGGGTGGGGGGACAGAGAAAAAAGGGAACTTCATTCAGCAAACCCTTCCATTGTTCCCGTCTTGCTGCTTCTCACATTACAAGTGCCGCAAGAGGAGCTGGGTGCCCTGGTGACAGGGTCCAGTGTCCCTTCTCACTGCAGAAAAGCACCTTCGTGGGCAGGGGCAGGGTGGGATGCCGCTGTCTGGTCAGGCCCTACCTGTGGCAGACTGGTAGCGATGAGTTTGTGGGAGTATCATGTAGCCATCTTTGATCACTTAGAATCTGAACGAGCTCTTCAGACTTATAGAGACATACTTTTTTTTTTTTTGAGACAGAGTCTCACTATATCACCCTTGGTAGAGTGCTGTGGCATCACAGCTCACAGCTCTTGCCTCAGCCTCCCAAGTAGCTGAGACTATAAGTGTCTGCCACAATGCCTAACTATTTTTTTTTATTGTTGTGTTGCAGTTGTCATTGTTGTTTAACAGGCCTGGGCCAGGCTTGAACCTGCCAACCTCGTTGTAGATGGCCAGTGCTCTACCCACTGAGCTACAGGCACCGAGCTGGACATAGATTTTTTTTTAATCATGTATCACTTTTGTGCATACATAAGGAAATGATAAGCAAAATAAATAGATTAAGATATTCCTAAAACTTCTTCACATGCAGGGCTCCTCCTTTGAACCACTTTATTTATTTATTTTTTTTTTTTTGAGAAAAATTTTACCATTTACTCTTGTGGGAACACTAAACAAAACCACACACATTTCAAAGCCCATTTTTGCTTATAAGTCTGCCTCCTCTGTGCAATAGAAAGTTGGTCCTTAAAAGCAGAGAGCCTAATATTTTGAAGCAATCATAGACTCCTAAATTGCAAACACATTACAGAGAAGTATAGGGCACCCATCTGCCAGCTTTCCCCACGGGTGACAGCTAACATGACTATAGTACATTATCAAAACCAGGAAATTAGGCCAGGTGCGGTGGCTGACGCCTACAATCCTGGCACTCTGGGAGGCAGAGGCAGGAGGATCCTTTGATCTTAGGAGTTCGAGATCAGCCTGAGCAAGAGTGAGACCCTGTCTCTACTGAAAATAGAAAAATTAGCCAGATAACTATGGCAGGTGCATATAATCCCAGCTTCCCAAGAGGCTGAGGCAGGTGAATTGCTTGCGCCCAAGAGTTTGAAGTTGCTGTGAGCTATGACGCCACGGCACTCTACCCAGGGTGACAAGGTGACTGGCCCAAACCAAAATTAAACAAGGAAACGGATCCAAGGAAGTCAATCCAAACTCCTGCTTTACTCCAGTTTGGTGTCTGTGTTTTAGAGTGTCGTCCTCTGGGCCACGCAGTGTTAGTGATGTGCCCTTGTTGTAGAGTACTCTTTTGCTATCTCTGGGATGTCCTGGCAGGCCACTGGCACCCATTCCCCAAAACTTTTTATTGTTGTTCTTTCCTTTTTAAGAAATAATGTCAAATGTAGAGAAGAGTGGTAAGACTATTACAAGGAACTCCCAATACCTTTCCCCTGGATCCAGTAACTGTTGGCATGTTGCTGCACTGCTTGATTGTTTCCTCCCTGTGCCTCCCACCACTTCCAAAACAACTTGTAAATCGTAGGCATATGCGCTTTCCTAAAAGAGTGTGTTTCCTAAGGACATTCACTTACCACAAATTGAAATCAGAAAATTTACATCAATACAATATAAAGTTTAAATCTCTTAATGTAGTCATAATAAAGTGGTAGAATATTGTCATCAATAGTTGGGAAAGTACATGTAAATTAGTGAGTTAATAAAGCTGAACACAAAATACACATGGTGATTTTTTTTAACATGTTAATTTTTATTTCATTTTATTTTATTTTTTGGTTTTGAGACAGAGGCTCACTGTGTCACCCTTGGTAGAGTGCTATGGCATCACAGCTCACAGCAACCTCCAACTCTTGGGCTTAAGCGATTCTGTTGCCTCAGACTCCCAGGTAGCTGGGATTACAGGCACCCGCCACAACGCCTGGCTATTTTTTGTTGCAGTTGTCATTGTTGTTTGGCAGTACCAGGCTAGGCTCGAACCCTCCAGCCTCTGTGTATGTGGCCAGTGCCCTAACCATTAGGCAACAGGTGCCAACATATCCTGATGATCATT